ATGTATGTATGTATGTATCTGTATATGTGTGTGGCGATGACGATAACTACGGCTTTGCGGTCGAACAGACTGCTCAGTCGGCTTTTTCCATTTTGCCCAGTTCACTTGGGAAGAGCTCCGAGAGGCGATCGAGGCCATTTTGGCCGCGGGAGTTCTCTCGTCCGGCAAGCTTATGTTTGGCGCCTCGCAGTTGTCGGGCAAGATCGGCCGTGCTTTTCTGCGGGTCATGTCCCAGACGCAAAAAGGGCGGGGCCCTCTTCGCTCGGACTTGTCCCCGGCTTTGATCTTTGCTCTTCAAAATGGAAGACGCTCGTCTACCACCGTGGCCGATCCCTCTGCACCCTGCTTACGGGGCCAAAGAAGACTGATGTGGTTTTGTTCACTGACGGGTCGTGCAAGTGGAGATGATCGGCGGCGTCCTGTTTTCGAGGGAAGGCTCGCCTTAGCAGTTTCCTTTGTGATCATGTCCAGGTGGTTCCCACGGAAAACGCAGATCTGCATGATCGAGTTGTTAGCGGTGGTCGCTGCGATCGAGATCTTTAAAGATCATCATCAACGTAAGCTTGATTCGGAACCGGTCAAGGCGGCTCGGACCAAGGACTTCTCGGCTAAAGTGTTCGAGCTCATCTGGGACCTCGTGCTCAAGGTAAAATGCTCGGTGTACATCGTGGCCCGACAAATTCGATGCCGGCACGCGGCGACAAGTCTAACCTGCGGATGGATCCTGTCTCAGGTCTCGCACCCTGAGGGAAAGCAGGGCCTGGGAGTATCTGGATGGTTCGAAGATGCTTGGTTCGTTGAGCCAACTATCTTATGTCTGGGTCGGCGTGCGAGCGATCGGACGGATGAGATCGGTTCATCGATGGTCGCCTGTGCGGCCTATCCCGCGGTCGCAAAAAATTGCGAGACAGAGCGATCGGTATGAATTGGCATACATATGTGTACATGTCTCGACCACTTTAAGCATATGTTTAATCATATGTATATGTACATGTATATGTATACGTATATGTATATGTAGATGTATATGTATATGTATATGTATATGTAGTTTGTTGTGTGTACGCACGAACTTCACTGTGCCATGTCCTGCAGTGTCTTGTTGCTATTCCACTCAAACATGTCTTCTTGACTTCAGCTACAAACACGGTGCTGTTCGATGCAGATCGATACTTAAGGTTGGTGCAACTCGACAGGCCTATGACGAGAAATTTCATGACCTGATGCTTGTTTGGGATCTAGGCTTTGCAATGATGGAGTGCATGCGCAGGCGGCAGACGACTGGATGTTTTGGAAACGTCGGAAGCGTATCTCGGCTGATGCTGCATTGTGCTTGAAAGACTGGGTATGTCGGACGTCCATGCACCAACAGGGCGGAGCTTCCATGCAAGACGCCATCCTGGCAAGAGCCACCGACGTTGGCAGCGGTCTCAGAGCTTCAGGAAACCAGCAACCTAAAACAGGATAAATGCGTGGCGGCTCTAAGGATTCCTTCTTGGAAGTGCCATCTGAATCGAGGCAGCTTCAGCAGGCCATCGGAAGTGCAGAGAGACGGCGTGCCCGAGCAAAGAGCCCGAAGGTGAACAGCGATGCACCGCCATGGACCGTCGGCCCATGGTCCACATGCAAGTGCTTTGAGCAGGCTGCTTTGCCGCTTTGGTTTGTAGTTTTGGGCCTCCCTTGCTCCGCCCTCACCGCCCTGCACAGTGCATGCCGGGGCTGCGGTCGCGTATCGTCCAGTGTGGCGGAAGCGTGTGCAGGCCAGAAATGCAATCTTTTCGCCGTTCCTTCGTCATGGTTCCTTTGCTCTGCAGGGGAAGTCAACCTGAGAGCACTCAGGAGTGCACGAATCGGGCCCAGCTTCGACACTTGACACTTGCATGACTTGCTTGGCGTCACTGGGCCGCTCTGCTCCGAGGTGCACACATTGTGCCCTCTGCCAGCATGCTGAGATTGTCTTGCACATAAGCTTGATCATCAACTTCTCGCAGGCCACGAGTCCACTGGCCACGAGCGCCACAGAACACTGAGCGCCAGAGCCGCCAGGCTGGGATGGCGCTCATCCTGGGCCTGGCTTTGGGCTACTTTGGCTCGCTGGGGGAGGACTGAAGCTCGTGCTGCGAGGCGATAGAATTCTGTCGAAATGCGACGGATGCCCTCTCCGCACAGGGCCAACTGGATTTGGCTGACAGGCTGCTTTCATTTCGCACATGTAGGAGGTTCCACCTCAACACGTATCTTCAGCAGCCAGCGGTTTTTCGTTTGACCTGCTGGCACCCTGTTCGCCTGTGTTCCCTCATTCTTTGCTTAAGTTAAAAGCAGGTCTGCATTCTGCTGCATCCCCACGCACCAGAAATAAGTGTGTGTGTGTGTGTGCAAGAGCCACCGAACGCAGGTTGTGGACTGTGCATAGCACTTGCTGATGGGAGACGTTGCGTACATGTCCCTGTACATGGCAAAGCCAGAGCTATTCTCTCTCCCTTCCTCCCCTGACCAGGACCTAGGGCTCTCAAATTCAACGCTCATCATGACCATGAAAATCCATCTCGCAAGGAGAAGCTCATCAAAATCAGCCTGTTGTCGAAGCTGGCTGGCTTCTTCTGCAAGAATTTGCCCATGCTGGAGCCTGGCTGCGGATTTTCACAGGGTGCTGCATCCTGCGGTCTCACTTGCCGTGGCAGGAGAACCTCGCCGATCTTGTGAGCTTGGGTCTTTTCGTTTGGCTGGTCGCTGCGGCCTCGGAAAGTTGAGATCCCGGGCACAAGACTGGACTGCTTCCGCATGCGCAGATCATCACATACATCCCGCCCATCTTCGAGTTGTACTGGATGCAGGACTGTTGCAGCCGCAAACAAAACAGCTTTACGAGCAAGCAAGAAATGCCACAGGACTGCTTCCAGAACGAGCTCTTGAGGGTCACGCGCACGGATGGGCCTTGTGTCACGCTGACAGCATGGCATGTTGATGCTGCCTCTTCAGGTGTCCTGCTCTATTCCTCTCCTCCTGTGGCTTTGTAGACTGATGCTGGGCCGATGTGCTAAGCGGTCATGGCCTTGTTAACTGGACCGGACCACTTCCCTTCATGCCGACTTCGGCTTCGAGGTACACTAGGGTACCTCCGCAGCTCTACTCCCCGGTGCGACGCTTGCCTATGGGGCTCCCGCCTTGGAGGGCGCAGCTCCTCGCAGGGCCGCACGGCCCAGGGGCTCTCGCTTTATCGCTTCTGAGCTTCTGGGCAAGGATCAAGCACATCAACGCTTTCATGCGCTGCCTCGGGCCCGTCTGAGCGGGGAAACCTCCCGTGCGCCCAGGCCTGCGAGCTCCAAGTTTCACTTCTAGAGCCCTGCCAAAGGCAGTGCAGTGCGTGCAGCAACAGACTGCAAATGCACAGATGGCAACATGCAGCAAAGGTGCGGAGGGCACCCACAGAAGATGTTGCTACTTGTTGGCACGTTTGAGTCCCATGCACAACAACGACCTTGGTGTGGTTTGCTGCTGCGGCATGTCTCGGGGCTCAAACTCACAGTATCTGGGTGGCCGCCTGCCCGACGCCCTGTCTGGAGCCTCAAGTCTGCGTCGCTTCAACACCTGCCTGGCCGTGACTGCGGGCTTTCTTGGTGGTCAAAGGCAGCCAACATGGCCACAGTTGCGCGTGTCCGCGGCTTGCGAGTATGTTTCCGGTGCTTCCAACATGTCATGAGCCCATTCAGCCAGGCAGACGGCTACAATGGGACTCGACTTCCTTTGCGCGAGGCTCGTGGAAGACAGCAGGCCCGTCGAGTGGCCTTTGGCTCGGGGTTTGCTCTCGCGAGAGCCTGGAGGTGCCCAGCAGGTTACCGGACGAGCACGTGAATCGCAAGGCCGTCCCCCTCCCCTGGCCGTGACCGTCCGGGCTGTCCATGGCTGTCCCGTGCCGTCTGGCAGAGGGGCCAGGGGCGCAGATCTCTCGGCTCAGAGCCAGGACAACACGCTGAACATCGAGCACTTCATCTCTGAGAAGCGCTCAGGCCTCGATCACGGCGTGGCCTTCCACTCAGCTCCCGCTCGGGAAGGGACAGACGCCCTCTCCTTCTGTGGGACTCGACTTCTGAGGTGACACCAAGGAAGCCAGATAGTGACAAGCTGACGACCAACAGAGTTGTCAAGGAGAGCCGCGAGAACGGCTGTGCTTGAAACCGCTCCCGTTCTGCAATCAGGATCAGAGAATCTTCTCCAACGGCAACTCCTATGTTCATGCCTCGCCGATCTGTAAGTGCTGCAGCACGACTTGCCACCGGAAACAGCTTTGAGGTTGGCACCTGGCTCAACGGCCGAATGCATGGCGAGGCAGGACTTCTTCTCAGCCATGTTAAGCTGTTTCCACCTGGCCAAGCCCTGTGGAGATGTCAGCACGGATCACTTGCTAGGGCCACTACATTTGGAGCGACGGCAGCGAGTATTTCGGTGAGTTCCATGAGGCCGTCCAAGCGGCAACACGCAAAGCTTTGCTGCAAGAGGCTTCTGTTGGAGAGTTCCCAATGCTTCTACAGAGTCCACCAATGGCACTGGTCTCTGACTGCACACGGCCACTCCAGAAGTTGTTCATGTCTGAGTCTGCGCTTTTGCAGCCATTCTCTTTGCAGGGCTACATGTGGGGCAGCGGGAAGAAAACCTGGCCCACCGGCCGCACCTACGATGGCGAGTGGCGCAAGGCCCGTTGAAGCCTCAGCGGCTACTTCATGTCGGCGCACGCCCGTGAATTAAGGACCAGATGTGGGGCGACGGAAAGATGTCCTGGCCGTCTGGAGAGGTGCCGGCAATTCCTTCTCTGCTTTAAAGCTCGATGCGGCCCGGCCAGGAGTACATCGGCAGCTTGAAGAAGGGCGTTTTCCATGGCAAGGCCGGGTTTGAGGGAACATGCCGGGAAGCCTGTAAAGCCCGGCATCGCTGTGCAAATCCAACTCGACGTACGAGTGCATCAGGGAACTCGCACTTGGCCAAATGGCGATCGCTATGCCGGCAACTTCAAGCATGGGATGCAGGAGGGCGAGGTGGGTGAAGATATGAGCGAAGTTCCAATCGCCGTCGTCAGACAGTGACATTGGCAGGGCACCTTCGAAAGTGCAGAGGAGGGCTGGGTGTACAGCGGCCAGTGGCTCCAAAATCGCATGTGGCTCTTCTGCACAGAGGGCATCGCAAGAATCCGTGTGCCGAGCTGCAGTTCTGCCCATCTGCTCCAAGGAATGGTCGTGGAAAGGCCGGTCTGTGCAGGAAACGTCAGAATCAGATGGGTGCGACGGCGTCGGTGCGAGCGATAGCTTGCCACTCTGTGTATTTTTGCGGCAGTCTTGCGAGTTGTCTTTTCTGTGAGCTTGCATGGGCTTCGTCTACACATGACCGACATGTCATCCTGCAGAAGCCGTCCTCGTCCCGTGCGCATATGCGCGTTGCTTCGACGCTATGCTACTGGTGATGCTCGCCCACAGCTCTGTCCACATGGGGGCACCTGCCTATCATGCAATTACGGATCGAGAAAGATCAACTGAGGTGGTACTGCAAGTGCGCCCATGAAGCCAACAGGTAGCCATCTCATCACTAAAATGACACGAAGACGCATGTGGCAAAGCAAGCCTGTCGCACTTAGATGGTTCAGAAGGCACTACTCGGTGTTGCCAGTGCACGCCCACAATCTAGACAAGTGCAACGGGAAGCATCTAGTAGTCGCTCCGAGCGGAATCGCGCCTGGCGTTTCATGGTTACAGACAAGCACGTAGTTTGCCGCAGTCTGCGTGTGCAGGTGAAGTGGCCAAATGGCATCGAGTACGATGGCGAGTGGAAGGTGCAGCTCGAGTACGCGCTCAACATATGTCGGGATCATGTCTTGGGTTCTGGAAAGGATGGCATCCGAGAGGGCAAGGGCAAGCTGACCTGGGCTGATGGCTCCTGTTACAAAGGCGTAGACTTCGAATCCCTCTGTGCCGGTGGTAGTCAGAGTGCTTGTGTTGGACTCAGGAGACTTCCAGCACAACTGCATAGAAGGCAAGGGCAAGAAAACCCTGCCAGACGGCTCTTGGTTCGAGGTGCCTCGCTTCTGTTCTGGGGCCTTTCTGTTGGTTTTCATCCCGGTCCGGGGGTTGGTCGCCGTTTACATTGTCCTGTTGCCCTTGTTGTCTTCGTTTGTTTGGTTTTATTTTGCATTGACTACGCCATTCTGAGCAAGCTCCTCCACACGAACGGACATGCATGTCCTGCCATTCCGAGCATGTTCACGATCTCTTGCAGAAAATAGACCTTCGCGTCTCGAGACTGTGGTTTGCAAAGTTGTTGTGCCGTCCATCGCTCGTTCAGGGTAGCATTTGGTGGTTGCCAGCCATGACATTCACGAGATGGCCTTGCCAGCCATCAAGCGGTTTGGGTTCGTTTTCGCTCTTGAGATTCGTCCGTTGCCGCTATGTTCAGGTTTGCTGGTTTGCCAGCAGCGACTCGGTTTTCTGCTAGGATTTCGGGTTCGTTGGTCATTAAGAGTTCAGGTGCTTCGAGTTTCCCAGCCCGCGTGAAGAAACGGTGCCCACGTGCCCTGTGCAGCAGTCCCTCACCAGCCTCGGGCAGCGTGGAGCCTCCGGGAGCGACCGCTGCAAGAGTCCCCGTCGCCTCAGAACGAGTTTTACCGTTTGCTCCCTGCCTGAAAGTCTGAAGATGCAGGGACGTGATCTTCGGTCTTTGATTGCTTTCCAGGGATTGTCAACTGCATCCTGCTTGCCTCTCCCATGTTCCAAGTTTGCTTCGGGTATGGTTCGACACTTCCTGTCCACCTTACGCAGCTTATTCTTGAACCTGTTCTCTGACTCGTCTGACTCGTCGGACACCATGGCCGATGCTTGTGGAACACATATCTGGTCAGGGGCAGTTCCACGACAGCGAGCTCGAGGGCCGCGGTACTTTCCACTGGCCTGACGGTTCGCCCCGTCGCTGAAGATGCTGAACACCCCCATGTGCCGTCTTCTGCTAAACGCAAGGTACCGAATTCGAAGGGCTTTGGCACAACAGCGAAATTGTGGGACCCGGCTGTCACAGGCGCGCTGGATGCAGCCTGACTGGCGGAGTGGTCGTTTTTGTGCCAGGTTCCCCAACGGCACCAGGATCACGGGAGTCTTCGAAAACCATGGAGCGACCGGGGAGGCCCAAATGCACACGAGCAGTGAGACTTTCGGCCTCCGTCTCTCCTGCAGGGCACGAAGAAGTGGGCGAATGGCTGCATGTACACAGGCGCCGAACCGGGGATGGGACGGAATGCGCCAGGTCTCTCCCCACTGATGCAAGCCTTGGTACCCAGGTACTCTGCTGAACAACAGCATTCACAAGTGCGCTCTATATGCGGACAGCTCTGAGAAAGAAGGCATCTAGCCCATTGCGCACAAGGTACGGCGTGTTCCAGTGGCCCGACGGGCGGCGCTACATCGGCCAGTTCCAGGACTGAAGACGTGAGCAGGGTCGCCAGGATGAGGCGCCAGTCAACTGGAGCATTGCTCTCTGGAGGATGAGATGATGCACGGCGAGGGCATGCTTTGCTGGACAGATGACTTCGGTGTGTGCCGCTACAAGGACTGTGCCCATGAGTTCTGCAATTTCGGTTGAGAGACACTGCATGTTTGCAGGGCTCCTTCGAGCACAACGTGTTTCAAGGTCACGGCGTGCTGGAGTGGTCCGTGAAGGCTGCCATGTGCGGTAGAACCTTCCATGAAGCCAATCTAAACGCTTGCAAGAAAAGGCCAGATACGTCGGAGAGTGCCCAGCTCAGAAGCCTTCACATGACGAGACGGCAGAATGTGTGACACGGACTTAGCGGCCAAGCATGACTAAGCCGTGCCTGGCAAGGTTCTTCAATGGTTTGTACCATGGTGAAGGCACCTTTGAGTGGCCAGACAAGGCTTCTCAGCCCGAGTTCAACGTGGTGAGATGTCTCAGACTCGCGATGACGGGAGCAGCAATTGAAAGCACCTCGCAGGCGAACATCTACCGTGGGCAGTGGCAATTTGGGGAGATGAGTGGTCAGGCTGACCGCAACATGGTCCGAATGTCCGTGCGACTGTTGACCATGGCCAGGGAAGCCTCACAACAAGCTGCGGATCCATTTATTCGGGCGAGTTCCACGCTGGCAACATGGAGGTGTGCAGCTTTTGATTGACATGGTTGTGAGAACACAGCCATCAAATCCTGCCACAAGACGTGCGACAGCTTTCAAGACGCTTGGAGCCGATTCATGTTTGTTGAATTAATAATTAGCAGTTTAGCAATTTCAAGGTGTCATTAGCAATGCCTGCTATGGTTTCTGAAGCCAGGGCCGTGGAACCATCACTTTCATCACCAACGACCAGTACACTGGTGAATTCAAGGTAGGTTTCCAGGTATCTGTTCGAAGTCTTGCCAAAATTTGTTGTTGCTGACCTTCGCAGGACTCTCTGTTCAATGGCCTGGGCTGCTACACGCCTGAAACCCAGATCCACTGCCGCAAAACTAAAAACATGGGAATATAGTCGATTGCATGCAGTATGCAGCACCGCATCGGCAGCATCGATCTTGATAGAGCGTCCAGCAGGTGGTCTTCCGGCGTGACCCTTACGGGAGTCTTTGAAAACAACGTTTGCAACAAGGCTGGGGCAGCATGCCCAAGCGATGCTGTCCAGAGTTCCGTCAGGGGCTGCATGGCAGGTCGGGAAAAAGACATACACCAACGGGCTCGTGTATGTAGGCGAGCTCCTGGAAGATCAGGACCAGCTGCCCTGTTAGTTGCAAGAAGCAAGTTTTCGGTTGAGGGGTTCTCGGATGCTGAGATCGCGGCGGAGCCAGGAGCATGGCCGCGGTGTCCTGACGGACCCAAGCGGAACCAGGGTGGTTGGTGTTTGGAACAAGGGAAGGCGCTTCCAGCTGGAGCGATAGAAAGTCTTTGGATAGCTAGGACGAGCGTCCTGTGCAGGCTCGAAGAGGAGCTGATAGAAATGATTGTTTCCTCTGCAGAGGCTATGCTTGCACAAGCTGTGCGTTTTAATCTGCTGTGCATGCTTGAACATGTGCAGGTGGATCCTCGTGGTCCGTCCGAGCAGATGCTTGGCCAAAGAGAGATGGCAGCTACCGAGCAGCGTGAGGAACTGTTGCTGGCCTTCGGTCCAAATGCTGAAGTCCTCAAAAGCACTCACTGCCCTCTCAGATCTTCGTCTACTTGCCGACTTTGCGGATTCGCAACGACATAGCACTTCGCAAAAGTTGCAGGTGCTCATTGCGACGAGGATGTCGATCGGGGTCACGGTTTGCTTTGTTTTCGCCTGTGAGAACGAAATGCACATGTTTTCGGAACACTTTGCTCTTTGACGGGTGCCACATCACCACAACATGTCATCCTGACATACGCTGACGACAAGATGCATTCAACGCACGCTCAACGAAGGGAGCTGCTAGCTCGTGGCCACCCACATGCAGCTTCGTTAAACCAAGTCCAGGTTATCCGGCCGACTGACTGTCCTGAGAATCAGATGAAGAGTCAAGCCTGTGATATGATGTTTCGCTTGACAGTCTGCCTTGGAATTGGGAATTCCTGCTCCTTGTCAAAGTAAACTCGGATGAGGTGCGACGTGTAGGTCAGTGTAGGTGTTGTGTGGGTTTGCTCAGGAGAGTCTTCGTGGCCACCAGGCGCCCAGATGCGGTTCCACGAACGTGCAACCCCTCAGCATCGCATGTAAGGCTTGCAGATTCCCACACACACACACACACACTTGGCTGCTGAGCTGGAGTAGGATCGGCATGCCGTTGCCTGGCTCGTTGTTAAGCTGCCCCAATGCCCTCTCCGTTGGTCTGAGGGCAATCACCATAGAAGGGAGTGTGCATGCTGTCTCCATGCTGCCATGCTGCATCTGCACATTATCGGCAGCAAGCATCCGGACTTTCTGCGGCCGTGCCAAAGACGCTGGTCGTACCGGTGCTCGAAGTGGCGTGCCAACCACGGCAATGGCCCAGCCATCGGTGCAGGCACAGCCGGAATAGGAATGTGTGTGGTCTTCGGACAATCCCGGTGGAGACCGAGAAAGAACGAAATGCTCCACATGTGTTGCCAGACGGCTCGGAGGATTGCTTTAAGGTCGCGACGTGACTCTGCCGAGGCAAAGGCCAAGCTGCTACAGTATTTCGGATGCTTTGCCGGTTCGGGGAACCTCGAGGACGTGGCTGCGCAGATCGCCCACTTGGAGGGTTTGGAGATGGGATCTCCTCGGGAGCTTTTGCCCGGACACTGGACGCTGATAGGCTCGCGTGCCTCTGAGAGATCGAGTTTCTGCGGAAAGCGATTTGCCGGCTGCGAGGAGACACTGCAGGCTCCCGTCCACCGACGCTGCAGCTTGGCAGCAGTTTCTCTCATCCTCCAATCTCCTAGCCGGCCCCCGGCCTTTCCAGGATAGCTGCCTGCATGGGAGCATCTTTACAAGGTCGTGTGCTTCGTTCAGCCGCCTGGGTGCAAGAAGAGAAGAATCAGAAGTGGAGTGGAGGGGTGATCATTCTTCGGAAGGCCATACAGTGGCGACATGTGGCGACCCAAACATGTGGCAAGGTCTGGCTGGACATCTCTGAGGCGCTGGAGCTGGAATGCCACGCTGTTCTGGGAGACGCAGAGGGCAATGCCGAAACTTGGCTACTTGGCAGCCCAGCTTCCCAGACATTTGTATGTGGTCTCACAGCAAGTGAGACAAAACTCCCTCCCTCTCTCTCTGTTGCGGCGTCCTAGGAACGGAAGGACAAAGCAGCCACTGCAGCTCGGCTTTTCCCCGGGAGCGCCGGTCTCGGTCACGGCAAGTACGGAAAGCCCCACCCGCGTGCACCTTGGCGGCCTTGGCCACGGCACCCCAGAACCGACATGTTTCACAACGTTCCCCTGAGGACCGTCAGCTATGTGGATGAAGATTTCCTCGTGCTCCGGGAGGATGATCCTTTCCTTTTCCTAGAAGGACTCACCAGAAGTTGCAAGATGCCGGAAAGGTGCAGTCGATGCGACCTGGCCAACAGGAAAGCTTCATCGTTTCTATGTGAAGCGCGAGGTCTACCTTCGAACAAGCTCCAGGCCAGGCAGGACAGGATGCCAGGCGAGCTGCGAACCATCAAAGAAGCTTCCCACTGACCAGGCAACGCTTTTGGCGTGGCTTCTCGGGGCTGCGAGACATGCTGCCACAGGCTTAAAGCTCGCAGCACTTCGCCACGATTCAAGAAAACCATGACGAAATTCCGGCAGGTCCCTCTATGGCTGCTTTCTGGATGCCGCGGCCTGGGTGCCTTTGGATCAACGACGCACCCACCACAGTATGGCGAGTATCTCTTCGTCCCGAAGGCACAGGAGGGTCGGGGGAATCTTGTACAGGGTTGTCGTGATAAAACTATGGGGCCCAAGACTGTGCTTGACAGAGGTCGAGAGTTTCCAAATATCCTTCGATTCAGAATTTCTGCAAGAACCAGTGGCTGTGGTCCAGCTTGCGGATCTGGATGACCCGCGGCTGCTCTCTTCGCTGCTTCAGTACGTCACTTACCAATACACCCCGGCACCCAGCAGAAATTCCTCCGGCCTGGAGTTGCGAGCCTCAATGTACACCAGCATGTTGCGACGCGACTGAAAACCTGATCGGATCCGTATTCAGCAGTGGAGACTTCCAGCATGCTACACGTGTAGGGCCTCATGCAACTGTGTTGTCTCAGGTACAGTGGCTTGTTCTGGCCTGCCTCTTTCTTGGCAGCACGTGCAGTTCTTCGGGCAATAGATCGAAGGAGGGCTGCCGGCCAAGCAACCAGAACATGGCTTGCATTGAGAGGGTGACTCCTGCGATCCCCGCTCTCTGGAAGCCGTACGCCACCCAAGCCCGGAAGCTGTCCAGAAACATTCTAAGATGAAGCTCCCTGGTGCGGATCCCGAATAGCTGAACTCGAGCCACAGGGCCGTCAGACCACGTGAGTAACTAGTTCTGATGTCATAGGAGCATTGGTGTAGACCTGCTCCTCCATGCAGGCTGCGGCTTCGATTGACCTTTTGTTGCATGTATCGTTGGCTTTGCTTTGCCTAAGGAGACTTGCATGTCGTGGAATTGGCAAGCGGAACGGGCCTTCCCTCCCTTGCCGCCCATCGCTGCTCGGCTCGTGTCACGTGCACGGATGTCTCCCTGCTGGCACACCAACTGGTCCTCACTGCGGCGGGCATGCAGTCCGGTGGCGAGATTTCAACGCGGGTCTTCGACATCTTTCTGGACTCTCCGGAGAGGCTCCTCGAAATGAAGCCTGACATCGTTGTGGCTTCCGACCTTCTCTACGAGGAGGACTTTGCGGAAGCACTGGGGCGGCATCTTGGCGCGGCCGCCAAGAGCGGAGCGGCAGTCATCACCACGGACCCTGGTCGCCTTGAAGGGCGTGGCCAGACCGTCTTTCTCGAGAGCTTCTCCAAAGCCATGGGAAGCCCAACACAGGTCGGCTTCCAGAAGCAGCAAATCCCGGATGGTGTCTTAGATCGGGGCTTGAAAGCCATGAAATACGGTGGCCAAGTGGACAGATCCGTCGGTGTCTTTGAGTTCTGCCAAGCGGTCAAAACAAGGGAGTGGGCATGCTTGCCATGTCAAAAGCACGCTGCTGACCGCTGCTGACTTCTAGTTTCGCTTCGTATTTTGACGTGCTCAGGTTAGCCGAAGAGTTGGACGGCACTGGAGACTGCCGTCGCCCAAGATGCTCGAAGGTTACAATCATGTAGCTTGTGTAGCTTTACGACTACCGATTCTGGCGAGCACAGTGCAGAGAACGGAGCAGAGCTCTCTTGGACTTGGTTCAGCTCCGAACACACCGATAACCCGTGGTAGCAACAGCGCACAGGCAAGTCCATCGTCCTCTTTGCAAACGGCGACAAGTACATAGGTGGTTTGCAAGCAGGGCGAAAAGATGGCGACGGCATGCGCCCTCGGGTTGTCCACTCATTTCGCTTGCGCTCAGAAGTGCTCCAGATTAGCTTTGCACCTGGCGTCCGCGAGGTACGTCTATGCAGATGGTTCTGCATACAAGGGCCCTTGGTCCGCAGATTCCATGGATGGTGAGCTGCATCCGCTCGGAGGGGAGGCAGGGGCTTTCAGAGACCCTTGAGTTGGATTTTCTCTCAGGGGCCAAAGGCTCCGCTGATCAGGAGTCTGAACAGACTCGACGACTTCATGACCTGAACACAAAGAATGCCGAGGCACCTCTGAGCTTGTTTTCCGAGTGCTCTCTGGACTTTCTCTGCACGTGACTCCGGCAAGGCTGTTCAAAGTATGAAGGCAAAGCTCCCTGGCGAACGAAAGCAGGTCAGGCTCTTCATCATGTTTTCGGAACCCTCCAGTCTGTGTTTGCCAGGCGCCGACTGTGGCAAGAATACAAGACTAGGTAGGATGAAGGCCCCTTTTGGCCAAGGACTCAGAGCAGGCGCTTGGTCATTGGGCCATCCATTGGGCCTTGCAGGCCGACGGTGCTCCAGCTCCAACCTGTCTTCTGAAGGTCATTTGCAGCTCCCACGTGCTGCAGCCGTGCCTGGGGTGTCCGAGGCTTGCTGCTGGCTTCAGCTCCGCACAGCTATGCATACTACCATCATCTAGAAGTCCTGAGTCATAACTTGTGTGGGAGACGTACGTGCATAAAGCATAGACCGATGCTACGAGTGTGAATGCCGGACACGCACTCCTTTGCGTTGACCGTATTCAGAAGGTTGCAGTGCCTTGGCAGAGCTGCGTGTGTGACCAGCTCAGCGCAGATTACCAGATGCCGGTGGCCTGCAAAGCAGATCGCCAGACCCGTTGCGTCGCATGGCCATCACAGGAAGCACGACAAGATAAACCGTGTGTTGTTTGTCTCGTCTTGTTTGTGATACATGGCCAAGCGTTTCACAATTTAGCGCTTTGCTTGTTGGCATCTCTGTCTATTGAATCTTTGCGACAAGCTTCTAGTGCATGAGCTTGGGGATGAGGTGCCTGCGGCATGTAGCTAGCGCCCGGTCTTCTACGGTTGGTGAAACAGATCAATCGACCCGGGACGTGTCCGAAAGGCTCCATGCGATGCAAAAGAGCTCCGGAGCACTGAGCACCAGATCCAGCTCGGTTTAGGTCTTTGGGTTTGTTAGACAGAAGTGTACTTGGGAGCAGGAATACGTTGGGCAAGCGGAGTTGGGTTAAAATCCAGGATGTGCGGGTCATGCAGAGTGGCATTGTTGCCACGTAGAAGCTGCAGGTTGTGAACCTGTAGCCCACGACTTCGTCACACGGCAAACCAGTTTTCGCGACAACCCCTGGCCTGGCTCCAGCATTGGTTGCAACCCAAACCCAAGGCAAGTCTCAAGTAGTTTCGAAACGGTGGCCGATGACGGTTTGACGAGCCAAGTAAGAAACGAAGTTTGATCGACTACTGTCCCATTGGGCATCTCCCGTGGCACATCGAGTTTGACGCCATGTCAGCCCGGCCTGTTACTTCGTCTTGTTGCGAAATTTCGGCATTGTTCTGTGTTCTGTTGCTATGTCTTCACTAAGTGTCCTTCATGCAAGGATTTACCCCAAAAGTTCCAGCAGCTCTGGCAAAGATGAGAAGAAGGTTGGCAAGCCCCAGGGAAGGGCTGGGCAATTCGAAGCCACCGTTTGAATTCCTTGCGACTCGAGATGATATCCTCATGCCTCAGGCAGAGTCCATCACGGGTAAGTTCGACCCCTCCGCCCTCGAGAGGGGAGCAGCGGTACCTGTCTCAGAGTGCTGTTGTCCAGCAGAGGCGGCTCACGCGCCGAAACTCTTGAAAGGCTCTCCGGGAGCTTGACACCTCTCCGAATGCTGCCAAGGTGCCATGCTGCCATGTCTCCTTAAACCGATCCAAGTGACCCCAAATGGGAGGCCTTCGAGCTCACCAAGATGGCGGAACAGACCAAGCAGCAGGAGCATTTCGATGTTCGACAGAGTTCACAAAGCCTCCCTGCCCCTCATATGTCAGGGGGGTGTGCTTGGAGAGTCAACCCGGAGGGCGTTTGGATGCGCAGGGCATACCAACAAAGTGTCGGGCACAGAAACAATCATGTCTGAAGGAAGCAGCGGCTCTGTAGATGCCTTCCAGTACGAATGCCTTCCAGAATCCAGAACCCAATTGGTCCCAAAAGCGAATGAAGACACAAATTTCGTCTCCACTGCTGCCTCCTTGAAGCGATTGAGATTCGGGCTCCCAAGTTCCGGCTGAGGCCTCAGACCTGCCGTTCTTTGCATGCCTGGCTACCAGGAGCTGCAGAAGGAGATCGAGCAGCAACAGACCATGCGCCAGCAGGACTGGCCTCAGATCGCACGGTTTTGAGAGCACCGACGCGGGACTCGTGCACTTTCAAGGCGACGCTTCAACGGAATCAGATGGATGCAGAGGAGAAGAGGCCCCGTGCATCTTCGTTTCTTTGGCCCTTTGAGCACTGGCTCCAGTCGCCTCCCACTGGAGGAAGACAATCTCACACCAGCAGGAGCAGGAAAGAAGGACGGCGGAGTACAAGGTGCATTGTTCCCTGCTGGAAAACCATCCGCTCCTCATTTTCACGCGAGGCCCGATTGGACAGCGAGCTCTACCAGAGCAAGCTTGAGGCGTCTGGCTTAACTGTCAATGCCAAGATGGTGAGTTGCAAGTAGCCTGCAACGATCATCTTGGGCTTTTTCTCAAGGTTATTTTGCTCTCCTTGCCAGGATCAGCAGAAGCAAATTGATCAGCAGCTGCACATGCAGCCGTCGTCTCGGATTTTCGCGAACGGAGACACAGAGTTGCAAGATCTCTCACACGACGCTGTTGGAGCAGCATGTTCGTCAGTGCGCTAAGTCTTGGGGGGATGAAAATCGCGATTCTTTGAGGCACGAACAGTTTCTCCGTCAAGAAGATATGCGAAAGAGAAATAACCTCGAACTGGAGGAGGACACTGAATCCGCGAAAGTTCCCGGTACTGGCAGCATCTGTAGCTGAAGGAGAAGCGACGAACGCTGCAAGAGCAAGCTCGGCTGGATCGGGAAGCAGCCATCGTCGGAATCTTTGGACCTGGAGCATCCAGAGTTCTACTTGGGCTGTTTACAGTTGTGAGCTGTTCGGATCCCTGTGTTCTTGCATCTGAAGCCGCTTTCTGATGACTTCTTGGCTCTTTGCCACTCAAGCCGTAGAATCCCCGGCGCCGCGGCGCCGTGCTGCAGCGCCCTGGAGAGGCATCCGAAGCCGAGATTTTCGCAGATGGCAGGGCCAAACCCAAGCATCCTTGAAGCTTCGCACCTGTCTGAGGGTGCGATGGCTTCAAAGCTCTCCACGGAACAGCTTCAGCTTGCAAAATGGCGCTTGGAACATGGAGAGACCATTCAAGGCGGGTAAGGGAGCCAGGGGCTCCCGCTGCCGAGGTCAGCTCTCAGTTGGGAACGTTGCCAGGACGACCCTTTTACGACGATCCAAAGTTCGTCAAGCTGCAGCCCGAGCAAGTTCGTCACTTGCGCGAATGCGTTCTCCCTCGCGATGTGTCGAGCCAAAGCAATCGAAAGATGTCTCCTAGATGCTGCTGGTGTAGCTTACTGCCATGCGTACAGAAGTACACGTGTGTGTGTGTGTGTTGTCAGAAACCTCACAAATGCCTGTGTGTGTGTGTGTGCATCAGCAAGCTTTCGAAGTCTTCTGTTTCTATCGTCCGCTTTATGAGAAGTTTGTCTGGAATGTCGGAAACGTGCTTGTGCACCGCCTGAAAGAACATCTGCGCGGCTCGATGCGAACAGAACAGATGGAGCACAATGCCTTAACTCAATGCCTCCAACCCTCCGGTGCGTCTTGTGCGTCTTGCCTTGTCCTGGATCCATGTCACAAAGGTTCTGCGAAGCAGCAAACGCAGCCGAAGCACAGTCGAAGACAGCGAAGGCAGCTGGCCGAAAACTCGCACCAGCAAGTGGTTGTGAAAAGAGGAGTTTGATTGCGCCAGGACGGCGCTGCTAGACTCTTCGGCGAAGATCTGACGCCAGAGGCAGCAGGTTTCGAGGACAATGAACTGCCAGTGCCAAGATCGTGTCAGGTCGTGGAGAAGTATCACTTCGCCTTTGTCAACGCCCAGGCCAGGCCGTGCCATGCCGCCAAGACGTCTCTTGCGGTCTGCGGTCGCGAGGACGGTGACTCGGAGGCTCTGGAGGCTTGGAAGCGGTCCGCGCCTCTCAGTCTCTTCTTCGGCATGCTTTTCTCCTCGGTGCATGGGCTGAGGTTTTGTGACATGCTGCGTGAGACCGAAAAGATTCTCGGTGCCATCGATGTGTGCCTGGCTGGTCCTGCCACTTTATTCAGTTCCGCCTGCCGATGGAGTGACAGGCACCGCTGCGGGACACAGGAGACGCGGTCCAGGGAGTCGTGGGCATGCTTGCGGTTTGGCCATGAAGTCGCGGCGAGCTGCATTGGAGAAGAGAGTTGCAAAAGACTCCTTGCAGGAGAAAGGGCGACCCATCATGCTGCAGAGGTCGGCCACCTTCAGAGCCATGGTTGCATCTAGCGCACCACCAGGAATGGGTTTTGGAATCTTGGATCTGGCCTGTCCATGGGCTCCCTGCTTTCAGGAATTTAAAGTGGCTGCATGACAATGGAGCCGACATCAACGAATCAGGGCTGCATCCAAGTACTCGCAGTTGTCGTTATGCTGAAAAGGGGGAGACGTTGTTCCGTTTTACTTGTCATGGAGCACTAGCTGGATGTTGAAGGGCTGGCCTTCGACCTCTGAGGCAATAACAGCTCCCGCTTTTTCGTTGTCAGCAGACGGCGATGTGTCTTTGGGCCTCACCCCCGTCCACGTAGCAGCAACATTCGGGCAAACCCAGGCCAGAGACCAAGCTCGCACGGCAGCCAGCAAAAATTTGCGCCGACGAACCGGACTCACGGTTGCTGCAGGCGCTGGAGTTTCTGAAGTCTCTGGGCTGCGACCTGAACTTCAAGCGCGGAGACGGGGCCACAGCCCTGGATCTGGCCCTGGATCAGAAGCAGTCGGAAACGGCGCCAAGCTCGGAAAGCCCGCACTGGTCTTTGTTCTTTCGCTGTTTTTTGCACAGAATCAGGCAGCTTGGTTGGAGAAAAACGGTGCTGTTCGAGGACTGGCGTGAAGCTGGCGACTGCTTTGCCTTTGTTTGCTAACGACGGACCCGTTCAGCATAGGTCGGTAAAAAGAACGCATTCGTGTCTGCGTTTGCTGGCACTTATCGTGCACAGTTTTCCCCGCTGCAGATTTCAAGGCAGTGTTGATAATGTACCCAAGAGACTTGAAACGAAGTCTCCACTCGTGGCTGCAATCTGGCCACGTGAAGATCAGATGCTGCGGAGTGCTGCGAGGCCTCCAGAGCATCCGAGAGCCGCGCAAGCAGCGGTCAGTTCTTGCGCACCCGTGTGTAAAAAACAAAACGTGTTTTGCCTTGTGCCCTAAAGCCCTTTCTTTATTCGCCTTTTTCCATGCCCCTTTTTCTCTCCGAGTCTCTGGGCCCAGGCCAGGGCAAGAGCCGAGGCGCAGGGCAGGCGGGGGGAGATTGGGCCAAGTCAAATCTCAGCCGCCACGAACACAGAACCTGCAAGAGTCGGCGGATCTAGCTCGGGCTCGGATTACAGTGAAGCGGAAAGTTGGAACATGGATTTAGGATGATGAGTTCTGGGATTCCCGATACCTTACCTTATGGGCATGAGGATAATGATGTTCCACCTTGTTGGTTTTATTGTATGTTAATCTTACAGCTTCGATCCCGGCTGAGGGTAGACAGTTGAACTTGTGCAGCTTCCCACATGTCCGCTTGTACGAGATTTGCTGGCATCTGGGCACTTACAGCATAACAGATGCAGAAACGAGTCTGGGAGATTGCCTGTGTCGACAGGTAGAGTTAGAGCAGCGATGGTGATCGCAAGCCATGCTTGGACACTCGCGCCTGCTTCTGCTGGCTTGCGTGGTCCACACTGTGGCAAGCGATCTGAGGGATCTGCTGGTTGCGACTGCACGTGGGGCAACCGAACTCAAGAGCTACTTGTCTTCCACGGTTGTCAAAGGCCTGCTGAGCCAGAAGGACGAGTTCGGCTTCAGCTCGCTCACAGTCGCAACCTACCTCGGCGATTATGTTGCAGCCGAGCTGCTCCTCAAAGAAGGTGCAATGATCGTGCCCGGTGACATCACCGCATTTATGGGCGACGCGCCCGTGAAGCTGAGTTCCGTTGTGGAGCTGGCAGTCCGACGAAGCTCCATGCTGATCATGCTGGGAACAGGCCGAGAAACTTGATCTTGCCTCGTGCAAACTGACACTGTCGATGAGACCGTGCAGGCTTCAAGATGCCTCCTTACCTGCACGAAGCCCAGAAGAGGATCTCCACATCAAAAAAGCCTTCACCATCAAACCCCGAGGCCTAGGGTGGCCTAGAGTATTCTGGGGAGCATGCAAGATCATGCAGATCCAGCCGTCTGATTCAGACACTTGATAGCCTGAGAGGTGCCGGATGTAGCACGGACGCTCGAATTGATTGCAGCAAGCGGTGCGCAAGCAACAGAGAAGTCACAGGAGGCCAGCAGCATGCATGCACGTCCTGAGCGAGGCTTGCAACTTTATGTGGGTGCGGGGTGCACAGGAGGGCGCCGACTTGGCACGTGCCTCCTACTTTCTCGACTCCTCCATGGTGGCGAGCCCAGGTTGGTCGGGGAGTCTGCAGATGCAACCGCCTCGGTGCTCCGAGGTGGGTGTTTTGCTGAAGTTGGGGGTCCAGACGGAAGTAGGCTTCTCCAGGGCGGCCAGCCGTACGGCCCTCGGCCCTCAAGGCACATGTCGAGAATATGGAAGAGATCTTGCGAAGGTGCCTTAATCGCTGTCGTGTTGGGCATCGGCCAGCTCAAGCACCGTCACCGACTAAGCAGAGAATTCTACCGCCGGATCGGCACCTCGCGGCCTCGCGGCGCTGTCAGGCTTGAACCGTGCCCTGCTTCAGCAGCCGCGGATGGCAGGCAAGGAAGCTACCAGGGCAGCAGCTGCAGGCAACACACTGCTTTCCACCTTTCTGAAGGGCGGCTCTTTCGCGATTACTACGGTTTCGACATCGTGCTCCCTGCCGTGTCCTCCATGAGCAGCCTTAACCATGAATGTTGTGCCAGGAGTCCGAGACAAAGCTTCTCAGCTCGCCCTGAACTCAGCACAGGTCAATGGTGAATTGCGCAGAGTAGTGCAAGACAAGTTGCACACTGCATTTGCAAGGACCTTTCAAGCCATGTCTTTTGAAGACACACTGCGCATGGTGAATGGCAAGGCGGACGATGGGACGCTTCCCGAGCCAAATCTTGCACTTGATTTTCATGAGAACCAGGCTATTCTTGTGACCGAGAGCTTGCTCAAGGCTCGTGCAGCGACTTGGCCGCAGCAGTTGGTTACCTGTGCGCTCCAGCTCCATCAATCTTGGCTCGTGCTGGGCATCGTGATGCTGCTTTGATGTGCTGGAATCTCATAGTGAGGACCCGAGTTTTGCACAAAGCAGGCAAAGCGGTCAGGCTCCCAAATGCGGCATTAAGTTTTCGGGGAGTGCTGCTGCTTGACTTCAATGTGTCCACTAGCCAGCCCAAGGCAAGACACCCTTGCACCATTGCTGCTGCCTTGGACCTCAACCCAGCTGACGGAAAGCTCCGAGAGCCCACTCAGGTGCAGAGCATGGCCTCTCAGCGTTGGCCGAGGCTGCCTGGTCGATGCTCTGATGCTTGTGGCCTGCACTGCACCGCTGCCACGAGGTGCTGCTTTCCGCCAAAGCAGATCCAGAAGCTCGAAGTAAACCCTTGCAGAGGAGAAGCACCGACGGACGGCAGGTAGCACTGAGACGTGAGCTCAAAACAGGACGCCACTGCACCAAGCTGTGATCCACCGTTCTCTAGGTGCATGGAGCTGAGACTCGCTGCGCATCCTCACCCTTCGCGTTTGTTTCCCTTGGACGTGGCCAGCTTGCAAGGTGCTACAAGCGCTTCTGGATGCTGGGGCGCAAGTGTTGACGATGGATTCTGCAGGATGGAGAGATGAGGAGTCGACATGGTGACCAGGCTTCTAAGCTTTTTGGCAGGTCGCACTGCACCGGACTTGGCCAAGCAGCTGCGTTGGGCGGAGGCGCACATGTTTTGGACTACGCAGATTTGACACAGATGTGAAGACATGTGAAGGGTCAGCAGTACTTGCAACTGTCAACGTGCTCTTCAGACGGATGCGTGGTCGTGCACTCGCGACGACTTGCGATGATAGCAGCCTGCGGGCAGAGCGCAAGATTCCAGCCTGAGGCCGGAACGAGCTTAGAAGACGAGGCTTGCAGCAAAGCCAGTGGTCGCCAGCCTCCGTGCTTTTCGCTTGCGACAGGCATCCGTGCACCTTCCTGAACTGCTTCCAGCAGGCTCCTGAGAAGCATCTTTCGCTTCACGAGACGACAGATGCTTCAACCCGCTGACCTCCGCTGCTCGCAGATGCCCGCAGGCTGGAAGGATCGCTGGGAGCGGGGAAGCCTCTCTGCAGCCTGGGCTGGAGCCTCGGGCACCTCATTCCATGGGCCCCACACTTCTGTTTGGACATGGACATGAACGGATTGGAGCAAGCTCAGAACGACCATTTTGAGAAGCCGGGGTTGAGCGGCACTGCTTACTGGATTTACTGAGACCCTCGCAACATGCAGCAACCGCAAGCATCCGTCCTTCAAAATATCAGAGTATATCAGAGCGCTCCGACCACGGAGCAGAGCGAATTTCACCTGCAATTGCTGTTCAGCAACAGACCGGAGACCAGATAACAGCAGCTAGTGTTGGTTGTCAAGTTGCACTCAAAAAGCGGCTGTGCATGATGTTTTGTTGCTTTGAGCGTGTGTGACAGTTTTCTGCTGCGGGCCCTTCTCTGGCTTCTTGCCCCCGACACATGTCACAAGCTCCGACGGCTCATTCTAGAAGCCTTCACTGCACATCTCCGCGTGGAGCAGGGCCGGCCAGAGAGTCAAACGTGTGAACTCGCGGTGGTGGCAGCCGAGGACAGCTGTTGAGATAACGGTCTTGCGCGGTCTTGCACTCTGTGAACATCAGCGAACGAATTCGCAGGAGCTCTCTGCCGAAACCTTCGTGGACGACTATCTGTCGCTTCGACGTCCCCTCTTGGTTCGTGACGGGCTGAGCCTCTTCCGCGAAAGTCTGACAGACGCCAGCAAAGGGCACCGAAAAGGAAGGATTGCTTCGCAGGGTTTTCTCTGAGGCGGCGGTGCCAGGCACATGCCCGCCTTCGAGCGCTGGTCATTGCGCTACCTGCTCCGAAAGGTGAGGTATCTGGAAGATCCCTGCCGCATACAAAGTGCCATGATGCCATGGTAGGTCGGTGAGACGATGATGTCTGTGCCAGGCTCAGAAATTCTTCCATGAACTCTGCAAGTTCCGGAGTCCTGGGTTGAGAAGATACCGTGTGACAGCGGAAAGACACTTGAGGCTGTGACGATTCCTTATCCAGAAGACTTTGGAGACATTGATGCCAAAGATGCACGCCGTCTCTCATTGAAAGAGCGCGCCTCTCGTAGATTTGGACATCGTGGTTGGCACAGGCGCACCGGTACCTTCTGCAGGTACGTCAATAACATTATGGGAAAGGTCAACTCCTCGTCCGGCACGCCGTAAGGCTCCCAGCAGAGTTTCGAGGTCACATCAGAGGCAGACATCTGCTTGAGGCTGTATGTGTTCTCAGTCGTGGAGCAGGAAGACCCCGCGTTGTGAGCTCAGGTTTGCAGAAGATGCATTTTCTACACCTGCAATGCGACCCAGGTTCAAGAAAATGCTTGCACTGGTCCAGAGAGACGCCACACCCCATCCTTCTTGGATGCAGGCTCCGACATGAGTTGTCTCCTTTGAGCTTCCCACAGCACCTGTGAAAGGAGTCCGGCAAGCTTCGTTACCGCCTCGGCAACATCCAGTTTGGATTAGGGCCAGCTGGCTCGGGAGCCCCGCAGTGTAGCCGGCATGTTCAAGGCTGCAGAAGCCACATAATGTCCTGCTATGTCATCCGCCACATGCACGCGATACTGGTACTGTCAGGGGTTCTGACTACTGCATTATAAGTTATAAGCCATATAAAACCCGTACATCTGACGTCACCATGTTTTGCAGCGTGCATCAGTGCAGCATCCGCCAGGCACTACCACACACACGCCTATGCCTCTCTCTTCCGAGGAAGGAAGCAATGGTTGCCAGAAACCTGGGAGGGCTTTGGCACTTTGAGCATGACCGAACTGAAGCAGCGGCGAGGTTCTATCCACCTCCGAAGTCAGCACTTTCTCGACAGCACGCCCGCAGCTCGGAGAGGGAGCGGAGAAGTGATATGACAATGCAAAGAGCCCCCTCCCATTATCTGACAGGCCATACAAGCAGTGCAACAGGATCAGGAGCGAAGGCAAAATTTGAGGCTGGGACCGCAGTGCATGAAGCCAAGCATCTCCTACCGTCTCGACAGGCCTGTTGGGACCCTGCAGGAGGCTCTGGCTCAAAAGAGCGAGCTCCCCCTGTACTGCGAACAGGCGGGCAGGCCTAGATTTCAGCAAGTTTGCAGGCCATGCACAGACAACTCCAGTCAATGAAGATTGAGGCACCCGGGGACATCATGTATGTGCGATCCTCAGAACTGCAGATTGCGAGCTAGTGTTCAGGAAGCGAGCAATCTGCACTGAAGACGCTTATCACTAAACCAGAGTTGGCAGAGCAGGCAGCTGTAACTACTACTGTAGTAGCTTGTTCGCTGGTCACTCACGTTGGCGAAGCTGGTGACAATCTCGAGTTGGTGCAGCGAGCTGGAAGAACCCCTAGGACGGGTTGTGCGAACTTCGCCGCGAATCCCTACATTGTATTCGGCCGGCTGCTGTGGAGACTTGTGCTCAAGGTGCCCACAGACTGGGGGCACTTGACGTACAATGTGGATGTCAGTGTCTCCATCTCCAGAGAGTGCATTCCTGAGTCCGAGTAGGACTAGGATGCCTAGAGATGCTTCGGTTGCAAAGCCGAGGTTCTCCTGGGAGGCGGAAGAGACAGACAGCAGAGTCATCAACTCCCTGCACATCTGAGCTGCGATCAGCTCCGGCTAGCTAGTTTTCATGCCCGACCTGACATGCCCTTCAACTCAACACAGTCTATATCTCGGCCTTCTTCTGAATGAGTCTAATAAGTCTAATGCAACCGAAACAAAGCTATGTGATTGGTTGAAAGCACGGATAGTGATTGCACACACGCCTCATTTTGTGGCAAACCATACGAACTTATATTAGCATAGGTTCTCAACGTATGCGGTACTGTATCACGGTGGAACTGTGGAACGGTAGGGCTATGGGAGCTTCCTAGGGTGTTCCCATAAACCGTGTTAAGTTGGGGGTGAAGCAGGTACAAAGCTTGCAAGGCTTTGCCTAGCTCGCTGGCCGCAAAACGTGTTGCTTTGTTTGTGCAGCGGTAGGTAGGGCTTGACAACCTGACGGGGTTTTGCCAGAAATCAGAAGTGGCACTTGCCGGCAACATGCTCTTGCAGGATTGAGCAGGAGCGGGAAAATGTAGAGGCCGACCTGGCGGCTTTATTGCTAGAAGGATCATAAGACGTGCATCTGGAAAATTGTGCAGCCAGCTGTCACCTTGTGCGTGCCAGGTCCGGCTCCGAGAAATGCGGGCGCGCATGGCAGAAGAAAGGAAGACGCGATTAGAACAAATCCAGGCCTCGCTAAACCGCCAGTGAAGCCCTTGATTCATGTCCTTTCATTTGCCTTACTATTCTTTTCATTATCATTGATGCCGTTATTACTGTTGTTACTGCTACTGATACTGGACTGGGTACTATGTCTTATTTGTGATGTTTTTGTTCAAGGTGTTTTTCAACTTCCCCTGCTTGCCGGCAGGCGGTTTTTGCTGGCCTGGGAGCCGGAACAAGGTCGCTTCTTGAGGAGCAGAGGGTCTGAGGAGGGGGGGGGTAAGAGAAAGCCTGAAGGGTAGGGCATTCATGCTCCTTAGTGTTGCCACTGAACAGAAGCGAGACAGTAGGACAGATCAAAGATGACGGTACTCGTTGGTGGCCTCACTGCTTTGGCCCTAGGCGTGCCGGAGCCCAAGACCCTGCCAGCAGGTTGATGTCATTTAATGCTCCAAGAGAACATCCCGGCCCGCGACCATTGCAAGCAGCACCCCAGGTACGGTGCACGTGCCGCGACAGGCGTTGCCGGCAACCTGATCGAAAGGCCTGTTCCTGACGCGACTTTTCGCCACCTTTCGCCTTGTTCAGCAGGCGAGTCTCGCACCATCGAAACGAATTGAAGCGATGGGTTTGACTCAGCTGGCTCAAGACCAGGCAGGATCATATGTGGTCCAGGTAGGGTGTCAAGCAGTCCGACACCACCGACCGTTGACAGTGACTCGAGGGCACACTCGCACCGCAGTTCCTGCCCTGCTGCAAATCACGATCAAGACAAGCGCCATGGCATGCTTTACTGCTCCCAGCGCTTCCATTCTCAGCGCCCCTCTTTGCGCTCGGGTCCTTGAGATACTGAAGCGGGCATGCAATTCAAGGTGAGCTCATTGGGAATGAGACCATGTAGTCCAGCCCATTGTAAGGTCCAAAGTAAGACGCCAGAAGGGGTTTTGGCCTACCAGGTGCAACTCCTTGCACTTTGGTTTCGGCTTCGCCGGCTCTGTGCTGTGACATGTTCTGACACCGCAGGCTGGGGATGTCTCGCGAAGGTCACACGGGGCCGCGAGGCCCGTGATTCATGGAATGCATCGGACACGGCAAGCGCTCAGCGTGAGGAACCTAGCCGGAGGGGCCGCTGCTTTTACAGGCACAGCTGATCCGAGAGTTAGTTACAGGGAGTGCTTTCCCTGGCGCTTGCAAGTCAGGTGCCGCTGCGCTCTGTTCAAGAGTTGGCGTCTCGGCGGTTTTGGATGTTCGTTTCTTGCCTGGCTGCGATGTTCAGGCCCGAGGTCGCCAGCTGAACTCAAAGAGAGCGGCCAGTCGTCGTGCCCTTGGCACATTCGATGGCAGACCCCATGTGTGAATGTCGTTCTCTGAGGCAAACAGATCGTAGTTGTTGGTGGCGGATTGGCAGGCCAAGCGGACTCCGGGCAGTTCCGGGCACCGGTGTTCAGCTCCCTCGCCGTCTTGACGCACCCTGGGCGGGGCCCTGACCCAGAAACTTCATCCAAGGACAAACACAGCAAAACGCTCACCCTCATTCATCCTCGATATGAACCCCATGCACGTGAAGGAGAAACTGAGAACAGTTTGGGTTTTGGGTTCAAGCGGGAGCACCTAGACCTAGTAGGAGTCTAATTGCGGAGGAGTCTGAAGTACGTCCGTCTCACTGCGGAAGGCTATCGGGAAAGCCCCTAAAATGCGAAGTTCTTCAACCCTAAGGGACGTATGCACTAATCAGTAGTCCATGCTCAAGCGCGAAGCCCGGCACCAGGGTGCAAAGAAGACGTCATGCACACAAAAGCCTCCATTCCACAGCAGGCTTGAATTTGGCATTGCGCTTGGACCAGATGCCATGGAAGTCTAGACCAGAGGCAAGCCTGTGCATATTTTTGTGGAGGCTGTGGCTTTGGGCATTGCTTGCACAGGTAAAGCTTCTCGATCCAAAAGACAGATATGTTTTTCTGCATCCTCCTCGGGCACCTATGCAGAGCATTGCAGATCTCAGAATCTGCCCGGTGTGACTGATCCAAGGCCGCTGCTGATCGATTATGCAACGGGTGTGGTGGAGCTGGAAGAGTTCGTGCTAGACTTACATGCGCACGGTGAAAGCGCATGCACTATGCAGACTCCATGTCCACGCACTCAATAGCGGAATCGCTGCCCTGCGAGCTGTCATGTTTGCAAGATCGAGGCCCCAACATACCGGGAGCTGCTGCAGGCCACGGGTACCCGCACAGCTGCAAAACCTGGGAAAAACAGAAGAATCTAAGAAGACACAGGATGCGTCGTCGGTCCAGCATCTTCAGGGCAGCGCCTGCTTCCGAAGTTGGAAAGGTCGACCGTCTCTGATGAGAAAGAGATCTTTTTACACCCGTTGCCAAGGCCTCCGAGGTGGACTGGCGCCGGCGGCAGGCCAAAGCACCCTGGCCCCGCCGCTCCAGGGGAAGGGGCATCCTGCAGAGGTTTCCTTCTCCCAAGCCCAAGCCCAAGATGTCCGAGTCCAAGGAGTCCAAGGTTTTGCTTCACTGATGCATGCTGACAATTACTGACAGTGAGAGGTTCAACATATTGCAGCACTGCTGTTCAGGAACCGCAGAGTCTTTCGTTTGATGCGCTTGTGATTGCATCTGGTGGCGTGGGTGCTGTCCTCAGTAACTCAGATCCTGACATGCTGAAATTTGCATCGGATATTTAATTGATTTCTAGTTAATGATCGCCGCATGCCGTTCTCAAGACGAAGGCCATGCCCAGCGTGCATGATCACCCAAAGCGTCATGATTGAGCACGGATCTTCAGGCAGAGCATGGGGAATCCCACGTTGTGCAAGGTCCGTCCGATTTCGTCTCGTTGCCCGGGCTCGCGGAAGCCTTGGAAAGCGGCAAGGCCTGGCCTGTCCTCCGCCGAGCGCTCGCTTGCAGTGTCTCCCGTCTGTGAGAGGCCTTACGCTTCTCTTCCCTTGCAGATGCCGGGCCCCAAGAGCCGAAACCGCCATGACGACTGCTGAGTGCCTGAAGGCCGAAGCCCTGCGCCGACGCCTTCACTCTGTGGAATCTGTCGCCATAGTAGGCCCACGCCAAAGTCTCTTGTACCATAGGTCTGCCACTGTCCTGCTCTACGTGGCAGGAGCAGGCTACGTCGGTGTTGAGCTTGCTGCTGGTCTAGCAGAGGCGCGTCCTGAGCTTGACCTCCCACGGCACCAGCAAGCGGACTTTGCGGAACAGAGTTACGCAAAGCCGAGTAGGCAGCGTCCGCAGACAGTGATAGCACGGCAGCAGGTCCTGCCCGAGGCTGCGGCTGCTGGGCGCATTGCCCTCTTCGGCTCCCGGTTTCTTCCAGGCGAGGCTTGAACTCGGCGAAAGAATTCCCCAACGCGGTCATCGTTAGGCTGCGAAGAAGCCAACCAGAAGAAGAGTGCAGAAGTCTTGGACGAGCTGGGGATCCTGCGCAAGACCGGCCCCAATCTCGGTGCCTTTGGGCATTCGGTAAAAATCAGAAAGTAAAATGCCGCAAAAGTGTTCCCCGCTCTCTGGAGGCCGTGTGGTGTCTCTCGATGCTCCTGGGATCTACATTACTTGCGCCTATACATGTGGTGTGGGTGGAGATGCCAAGGCGGAGGGAGTGGCATGGTCTCCGACAGGCACAGAGAGGCCCCCTGGACAGCAGAGAGATCATCGAAGATGCGATGACCCAGTGTCTCTAAGGTCCGAGCTGCATTCCTGCAGCCTCGCTGGAAGCACAGACTCCTGGAGCAATTGAAAAGCGAGACAGCGCCTTGATCCAGCAGGTCATCGTGACCGGGGCTTTGGCCACATCCACGGAGCAGAGGCGGGACTCAAGCCCGAGCCTATCCACGATGTGAGGGTCGCAGCATTCTCGGATCTCCAGGCTGAAACTAGCCTCTCCGGCAGACGAGGCGCAATTGTTGATGTTGCGGTTCGCGAGTGAAATGTGATTACAGAATGTAGCCAGGAATCCATTGACAAGGGTCGTGCAGTCGGAAGCTTAGTGCGAGCTAGTCTTTTTCGATACTTGGAGACGCTGGCTGCAGGTGGTTGATTCGTACCTGCGGATTGCACCTGGTTTCTTCTGTGCCCTGGCTGTTCAAGGCTGTTTGTTGCCTCGCGATCTTTCTGTGGCCCTTCGATTGCTGGTGCTTAGGTCTGGGGGATGCATCAGGAGGCTCACCACCTACTGGCCAGATTGTCTTGCACTGAGGTCCCCAAAGTTGGAAAGTCCCTCAGAATCGCGACCCCAGTGTTTTCCAGGCCATGCAGCAGGCCGAAACAACCGCTTGGAACATATTCGCCCAGCTCTCGCACCTGTGCAGACCTGAGACTCGGAGCATCTTTGGACGATGTCAGCGCATTGAGCTTGAGCTAGATTGCTGTTGGGCATCAGCGTTTCTATGCCCCAAAGAGTAGTGAGTATTGGTCCTAGTGCATTGCAAAGACGGAGACTGTTGGGCAAAACATGTTTACAAGCCATAAAAACCAAACAGATAAGCAGCCTCTGTGGAATGACGGAGAGCTATCCAATCTATCCTCCACAAGCCGGCTCAAAAGAGTAAAGCGTGTAACGGAATGCATGCGTTTCCTCGCACAGTGGCTCGGCTCGGTGTCTCCGGCGTTCTCTCCGTAGCAGAGTCGCCGCCCAGAATACTTGGCATGTCCGAGCGCTAGGCCCAAAGCTGACGCTCAAGCAATGAAACGAGGGCGGGCAGAGGAACAATGTCAGGGCGGAAGGATGTGGCGACCAGGGGGTGGGCGGGCGAGGGAGTTGGGCATTTTGCAGACTGTAGTTAGTGACCACGGAAGCGAGCTGGCATCGTGCGAAAGCCTGTATTGAAAAGGCGCCCTATATGACCCAATGCTCCCTGTCGGCAATCCGAAGTGAAGATGGCACGACACGGACTCAACGAAGGCCACGCCCCACCTGGCGACGCTTTAAGCCCAATGCCATGGGCGAGTTCATTGCCCTCGGCAGCACAGAGGCCGTACAGTGCTCCCATGGGGCAGCTATAGGACTATAACAGTGAAAAAGAACACCTGGAGGCTGCCGGCGTCGTTCAGCCGACACAGCTGGGCAATTTGCTTCCCCCAGCACTGCCTCCAGCCGAGAACCCAGCTCATACTGTCCATGATGGCTTGACAGGTCTACCAGACATGTTTCAGAGGCGTCCTTTTTGCATACTGTTCAAGCCATGGCGACTTAGTGGGACACGGTGACACGGCTGTGATGTTGGGAGGCTATTGCACGTGCCGTGGCGCCGACAGTATCCTCCGCTGACTGCTCAGGGGCCAGCCGGTTCCGGCAAGGACATGTCTTCGTAACGGCCCAACAGCCGACATTCTCGCAAAGCTTCGCTAAGGTTGGGCAAGCTTCCACAGCAAAGGCAGCTGTCGCTGGCAGGCATTTCGCAAAGCTTTACAGCATTACCAGTGCTGAGCGCGATTTGGCCAGATCCAGCTACTATGTACTTTGGTTTTGGACTTGATGATTAGACTGGCAGAATTGGCGCTACGACACACATCTAAACCCCCAAAGCATCATTGCTAGCCGGTCGCAAAAGGGCAACGCGAGCTCTTCATGTTGGTGACATGGCCTTATGGGGCCTTGGAAAACAGCTGATGCGGCAGTGAGAACAACATGCCACCAGCCTTCTATTTCGATACCCAGCAGCTCTAGGCCGACAGATCTGATGGTGCAAGAGAGATCATGCCACTCAAGGGAAGTGCATGTGTCGAGAAGTTGTGCAGACGGAAGAATGCGAGATAGCGGAGGGGTGCATGCGAGGATATCCAACTGTCTTAATCCCAAATCCTCAACCCCGAAGCCATCAACTGTAGGTTCATCGGTCATGAGGACATGGAGACCGCATGTCTGCAAGAATGCCTTAAATGGCTTGCAGCTTGTATGCAGCATACCATGTCCAGCACAAAGACTGCCCAAGCTCTCGATACATGTTCGGGGGCAGCGGGAACTGAAGAAATACCCTGAGCTTTGCCAAGAAGTAAGGCTAGGCACCGAGGCAGCACTCCTTAGATTAGTTGCAGGGCAACGTGCGTTTTTGGGTGGGAGCACAAAGTCAATCACTACTTGTGCGGAACAAACACAGGCTGGTGCGACAACAGCTACCTTGTGAAGTGGATCAGCAGAGTCAGTGTTTCTCTGCTTTGCAGGCCTGCCAGCCTCTTGCGTCGGCTCGCTTACTTGTATCGCAGCTTGGCTTCTTCTCTTTGGTTCAGGTCGTTGCAAGCGGCCCTCAAGCTGCGTTACGCGGGAGCAAACTGCACAGCTTACTTATACCCTTGCGCGTCCACGCTGTCTGAGGCCTGCCTGGCATGCATCGATTGAAAGTGGCTCAGCGGTGGCTTGAGCGTGTGACAAGCAATGACTCCAGCCTCTCAGGAAATGTACTACCGCTTTGACGCAAACAGTGTCAAATGTGTTAAATATATTTAGAATTCAGCCTTTGCAAGTTATCTTCCGGCAAATTCATGCCGTGTTTGCCGCCCGTTTCTGTGTTTCACAGTTTTCGACGGATTTTCTGAGCTCCCTCGACAGCAGCTCAATTTTCGCTTTCAAAAGGGAGCTTCACGTCCTGGGATTTTCATGGACCGCGAACGGAGAGCTGAAGTGGAGGCGGTTGATGCGTCCTCCTTTGGTCCGGGAGACCTCGCGCCTGACGTGGGGTAGGGAGCCCGAAAAGGGCCCAGAGCGAGCCCGGGCTCGAGTTGGAGTCTGGCTCTCTGCCAGGCCGCGATGGCCTGAAGAGCCTGATCTCCTCGAAGAAGCAGGGCGGCTTCCTGGAAAAGATCGTTTTGGAGGCCGTTTCGATTCTTTCAGCCTTTCAGGGAGACATCTTAGCCGTGCAGGACGAACTGACGGAGCGACTGCAGTGGACAACCAACTCCCTGGTGAACGCGAAAAAGAACGGGACCCCATACAGGCGCCGACTGCCGACCTAATCTTGCCAGATACCCGCAGTCAGCAGTCAAGCCACCGACCTGTCTCAGGCACCTCCTCCTGCACGGGCCTCCGGGAACAGGCAAGACGCTCTTCGCCCGGACCCTCGCCAGACAGTCCGGCCAGGAGCCCGTCAACAAGAGCATCACAACATCCCCCAAACAAAGCCTTGGCCTTCGGCTGCTTTCGGCTCTACCCCGAGGCCTGGACTATGCGATCATGTCCGGCGGAGACGTCGGGCCGCTTGGAAAGGATGCGGTGCGCCAGCCTAGGTCGGACACGCACGCCCCCTTCGTAAAGACAAAGCCGCGATTGCTCAAGAGTGCCTCCGCACAGGATGTATCCCGAAAGCTCACACCTCGTGCGCTGCAACCATGACCGTCCCTGTAACGGACTCTAACTAATGGTTTAGTTCTAGGCACCTGACACTCGGATGCCTCGTTAGCCGAAGAAGCAGCACTGCAAAGGGAACACTGAATGTGCATGCGTTGCAGTAAGTGTCCAGAATGCCTGGTACAATCCATGACCCGATCGGCGGCCAGTCCCGCGCCACGATTGCTGCGAAGCAGGCCAAACCGACCCTGGAGGATATCTTTGAAGAGTAGTTTGGTTATCTTGAAGTTGTGGAGGTGTGACACTTAGGCCAAAGATCGAAGAGAATCTAAGACCACATTGATAGCACTCCATCCCTGGAGCCGGCACCATGTAAGGATGGAGGAATTCGCCGAGCGCACCAAGCGGGAGGCCGAGGAGCGCAAGAAGCAACGAACAGCAGAGGGTGGCCGAGGTGGAGGTGCAATCGCGATAAGTTGTTAGCGGCATGTCGGGGATCAGAGAATGAGTTGCCGTTTTGTTCGCTGTCACTATGCAGTGCATTTTAGTCAGCGAAGCATTGCACGATACGGCGACGAGGGAGCCGACTAATCCTGCATCCTGCAATCGCGGCAGGCTACAATGACCGACAGGAAGTCGAGCGCCGACAGCCTCCGCGCGAGGAAGACTGTGCATATGATGACTTCGGGCGCAAGAAGAATGATAAGTCACAGCTATCCAAGGCTGACAGAGCTGCAGCAGCTCTGAAGCGACTGCAGGCCAAGCCTTCAGAGACAGGCCCAAGCCGAAAAGAATCTCGCAGCCGCAGTCGAAGCCCGCCAGAGAGCCGCAGGGCCCGGGATCCGAAGCCTCCACACGCAGGCTTCAGGCCGCGTGGCGCCAACCACCGCTTCTAACTCCAGAAGCTCCTCGGATCGACTCGTCGGACCTGGCAATATATCCCCTACGGGGACGAGATGGGACCACTGTGAGATGCCGCCCAAACCGACTCTGCGCAGCTTCCCGAACCCAGCACAAGGCCGAAGGCCGGACATGCGAAGCCAAGGCAGTAGACGTCCCAAGCAGGGTGCCGATCTCATCGAAAAAGGCGCTGCCTGGTGCACTGGTGCATCCACAATCATCCACAGACGTGGGGGTGACGCGAGGTACACGAGCTGAACAAGCTCTTTTCCTGGGCCAACTCGTCCAGGCAAGGCTTTTCTTCTGGGCGGAGTTCAGTTGCCTGCAGATCCGTGTCCGCGAAATGTGCATCTGCACAAAAGTCCTACAGTTCTATGCCGCAGGCGAGGACTCATCCTCTTTATCGACGAGGAGCGTTTGCCCCGCTGCAACTCTGCGCATAGCCTGCGTTGTCACTGTCGGCCTGTCTTCGGGCGAAGGCCGATGCCTTCCTTCGTACTGGCAGAGGCTCCGACACTGGCTCGATGAGCGAGGAGGCTCTCCAACCTCATAGCAAACAGCACCAGCTGTCCGGGCAAATTTCAAGTCTTACTGCCATTTCATTCGAGCTTCCGCTGCAGAAGATGAAGCCCAGATGTAGTTCACTCCGGCACACGGGGCAGATTACCAACTGGGGTCTGCAGGCTCGGAACGTGCTGTCGGCCTTCTTGCACCACACCGGCACGGAAAGCGACAAGCCTGACTGGCAAGTCTCTTCTGGGGCTATCGGAATTTGCTGCTGTGTTGTAAGTGTGCACCAATATGCGGTTGTCTAAGCGGTTGCTCCCAGAGTGTAGCAAGCTGAGATGCTGATGGCTGAAGCAACGTGTGCTGCTGACACCACACCCAAGTCGTCTGCTGGTGTCTACAAGGTTCGCAACGAGTGGATTCTTCAGCTGCAAGACAGGTTCGTCGTAGTGCTGGCCACGAATATCCGAGAAATCCTTGACAGAGCAGTGCTCGATCGTGTCGCATGCGACCCAGCAAGCTTTTCTACAAGCATCAATGAAGCGGCGCATCATAGCCTCCTGGGATCCCAGGATGAGAACTTCGAGTTTCCCTTGCCCAGCCTGGAGGCAGACGGTCTTTGGAGCTTTCTTGGGCTTCGGGTTTTAGCGACAGTGTTTCTGCCCTTCCTGGGCCAGGAGCGCAAGAGGATGCTGGCAATGTTCATGGAGGCGCAGCCTGCTCCGACTGGGCACAAGCATGCGGCAGCTCTGCTTGCTTGCACCCAGCACTCAGGAGCACATCCACACGCCCACAAAGCGCGGTAAAGTCATTGAGGTCCGATGGAATTCTGGCCTCACGTCAGACTTGGCGTCGTCGTGATATGACCTTTCTTTCGGACTCTCTGCAGGTAGATGCAGCCTTGGATGACAGCTTCTTAGACCAAGCCTGGCTCCTAACGTCAAACGAGAGCCCCAAGCTGGGCTCTTTTGGGCTGTTTTCGTGTGCTCCATGCTATCATGTCAAAAGCAACTCAGCTTGGTCAGTGGTTTGGCCCTGGAGTTGCACTGGTGCAGTTTGGGCTCAAGGACGCCTCCCTCTTCCAAACAGGGCGCAGGGAAGATGGTCGCCCGGATCGAGAAGTTGTAAAGCTAGGTTTGACACATGGCTTACAGTTCCCATGTCGAAATACATCATTGTATCTCCCTTGCAGGCGGGCACTGATATGGACAATCCACATCTGGATCCCGTGGAGACCTTTTCGCGCCCTGCCAGCTTAAGTCGCAACATGCGAAGTTCGTTAATCATGTCCGACCAATTGTCGTGTGGCTTACAACGAATGTGGGTAAAACTGCAGACAAGGTTTCTGAGACTGGTCAGCGCGGACGGCCACGAGTTCTTTCTGGACTCTGCATGTGGGATTTGGGATTGCCGTCTGGGAGTATGCATGCATGTTAGCTTCTGTGTCAATATGTGTTAATCTGTCTTTCCCAGCAGATGCTTCAAAGATTGGCCAAAGGACAGACGGATCGCATACGAGTGCGACACTTTCAAGAAGATGGTCGAAAAGGAGAAGTCTTCTCAAGTGTGGTAGCAGCTTTGGACAGTGCGCTTTTGAGTAGCGGAGCCTAGCGGAGCGGGGCGCCGGATCGTCCGGACCAGGAGGGCTTCAAAGAAGGTCAGACCAATGAGATTCACTTGCCAACAGCCCGTATCTCAGCAATCCTCGCCAGCCTTCTTAACGGTGAATCAGTCACCACGGGGTGACCGAATTTCCTAGAGATGACCCGAAGTTGGATTCTTCTTGAGCACTTTTCGGACAGGTGACTAAGACACCTCTCTAAGCCATGCGAGCAGATTCAGCCAGCGCGCGGTGGCTGAATCTTGTATTGACTGAGCCATCCAGATGCTCACAACCAAGACACAACATTCGGAGGCCGCAGGCAAGGCGAGCTGTGCGAAATTTACGACTACGACGCATGGGCACAGGAAACGCTCAGCGACCTTTTGCACAAGCTATCGAGCATGACGCATCATCAGCTTGAGGAAGCTCGAAAGATCTACAGAAGCTGAGGAAGCGCGAGCATAACAGAAGATACTACAAAAGGAGACCAGCAGCTGCAGATGACTCGCAGACAGCTACAGCAAGTCCAATGAAGATGAGGAGACCAGCAGCTGCACGCGACTCGCAGTCAGTTGCAGCAAGTCCGATTGCTCTTGATTTTTCTGAATGCAGTAGATTTACCATGCATGTTGATGTTGTGCAAACATTTCGTTGCTCACTCAGCCCAAAGCATTTATGCCGTTTTGAGTGTTTTGATTCGTAATACACGTAGCCGAGCTCCACACGCATGTACAGACGCGATTGGGATGAGCACTGCATGATATGCCTCCAAGGGGTTGTCCATTCACCACAATGCATCTACTCCGTTTTGGGTTTTTTGCTTCGTAAGGCACGTAGCCGCTCTCCGTAGGCAAGCTTCATGTACAGACGCGATTGGCATGGGCACAGCAGGATACATCAAAAGCATGCATGCTCACCTCAACACACCCCAGGGTGGCTGAATTTTCCACGGGCGCTGAACTGTGTTGTGAAGTTTACGCCTCAAAGCAGGCTGGCCCAAAACCCCCATAAGTCTTGCCCAACCTTGTCCAACCCTTCGGGAAGCATGTCGCTTTAGGTCGGTTTACAGGTGACTAAGCACCTCTCTAAGCCATGCGAGCAGATTCGGTCACCCTGCGGTGGCTGTACCGATATGACACTATGCGATAGCTGAATCTTGTATTCAGCCACTGTGTGGTGGCTGAATCCTGTGTTCAGCTGGGGTAGTAACCCAAGAGGTCACCGGCAAGTTGCTCGAGAAGGCTGGGCTCATGCACTTGGCCTGAGCTCAGCTCAGATGCACTCCCTCAGGTCATCGAGTATTTGTATTTCAAGTACAAGTACACAGATGCCAAGGTGCCGGTTGATATGGCCTGACTTACTTCGAGGTGTGGGCTTTTTGCTTCCCGGCAGGTGCCAATACCGGAATTCCCAATCGATGATGACGTCGTGCTGGTGCTCTGGCAGCGAGTCTCGCAGCTTCTTTCCATTTTGTTGTTGTTCATAACCCGGCAGGAGAGCCACCTTCCTTGACTTTGTTTTATCTTGTAATCCTGCTGTTGTGCAGGAGCACTTGTTCGTGACCCGTTGGTGTCAGGAAGAGTCGTTGGCAAATGTTGGCAACGCCCGACTGATGGCAAGATCCACCACGCAGCTGAGGATTTGCTTCTGGTGGCGAACTACTTGAACTTGTATTGACTGACGGCGGCTCTGAGTGTAAACCAACTGCCGTCTAGTGAGGTATCGGTCCATGCATTGTTTTAGCTTCAGGGGGGTGCACCTAGAGGGCCGGGAATTCGGCAGTGAGAAGGCATGCTTAGCATCTCCGTTTCACAGAAGCGCCGGCTGCACTGCGGCTGGCGCGAAGCCAGCCCGAAGCTGCAAGCGCAGAAAAGCGATGCGTCGGGGCTACTCGTACCGGGTCCACCGAGCTCTGTTGCAGCTGTGAGGTTGCCAAGCGGACAGACGGATTCTCCGGCCGTCAGCTCGCCAAGCTGGTTCTCGCTTACCAGGCACTTGCCGCACGCCTTTGGGCAGAGGGCTGGAAGTCTGGAAGACGCGAAGTGACAGGCGGCAGTGTTCGGATCAGGCACTACCAGGCAAGACTTTGCAGAGGCGCGAGAATCCAACAGGATCTGCCGCATTCGCGAGGCTATCGCCCGGCCTAGCGGAGACTGTGTTGCAGTACAAGCTGGCCCATCGCGAGGATCCTCGCACAGCCCACCCCTTTCTGTGTCTCCGTACATATAATAAAAAAAAAATATATATATATATATATATATATAGATAGATAGATAGATAGATAGATAGATAGATCGATCGAAATATAGATATAGACTACAGGTATGTATATATATATATATA